GAAAAAGCCATATTGGGTGTGGGGTCTCCACCCGGGTAAGACGTCACACTTGCCACTCAATTGTTGGCCTCCAGCAGGTGCAACAGGAAGCATGTGACCACCAGACTTTAAGTCAGACCCTCCGGACAGGCCTTCACTTACTGCCCTCCCGGAGCTGGTCACTCCACCGCTCTGCCTTTCAGACTTTCCGTGTGCATCTCATGACACCATGAGAACCTCAGCTCCACCAACCCCACATGGGGATGGTGAAACAAACAACCTTGTGAGATAACACAAGGGAATATGCTTCCTGAACAAAACACTGTAAGATTATAAAAGGTCATTATTATTTTAAGGGCAATGCCCAGTTTCCACTGGATAGGAACAAGCTGTTCTTGTAACAGGAAACAAGGGAATCAACACTTGGAAAGATGTTCTACCTTGGTAGAAATCAAAGAAATACAACTTGAGTAGATGCTAAACCTATAAAACCACCTCTAAAAATATAATAATAATAAAGCATGGTCTTTAATTATAAATTGGTAAAACTGAGCCTGGGGGCCACAGGGGCAACTCATAGGAAACTCATGTGAAATTGTCAAATCAAAAGTTGAACACTAAATATATAAACATAATGATTACAACTATGTAAAAAATGTGAAAGTTCAACGATAGAGACTGGAACAACGTGGAGCATCTTACAGATGACAGGTACTTCTTGGTGCAAAAAGGTGCTCTCACTTCCCTTTACTACTTCATTGTTTTGATCCTAAAGACAGCTGAAGACTGAACTTGATGTAATGATAATTCACTCACCCAGACAACCTCCTGATTTGGAATGGAGGGAAAATGACTGCTAATAACAGTGTCAGAGTCCCTGCTTTTTACCCCAATATTCCTGTACTAAGGCATGTTCCAGCCCCTGGGGCTGCAAGGATGCTCTAGACATGCTAGGCAGTCCAGCGTAGCAACCCAAACCAAGGACAAGATCAGTGGATCGGAGCATTTCCCCTTTCACCCGCTGGTCACCTGAGGACCCAGGAGACCCAGACAGGATGCTGCCCAGGCTCCATCCGACCCCGCTCGTCCTGCCTCCTTCCCTTTTTTGTAGTTGATCACTGTCTCTCTAGTTTTCACATTTCTGCTCAGCACCAGCCTCGGCCCACACTCTGCCTGCCCCTCTGGCTCGCAAGCCCCATCTCCACAAGCTCTCGTTCTACCCCTCCCTGTGACAGTGGATGAGCTCACCATAGGTCAGGCCGGTCAGAAGCAGCAGCAGCAAGAGGAACCACAGGAACGTCTTCAGTGATGAGAAGCGCCTGGACCACAGGAGGGGAGAGAGGGCAGGCGGAGGTGTCAGGAGGGCTCCAGGGCCTCTATATGCCCCCAGGGAGTTCCTAGAGATTTTTTCCTGAGTGCTGAGCTAGAGTTAGAGAGGACACCCTCAAGCCTCTCATCTTGCCAGGGCCAGATTGGATGCTTTACCTGCAAAGCTTGGAGTGATGGGGACAATTCTGACTCTGAACTGTATTGATGTTATCAAAAATAAATACTGGGGCGGGGGGCGGGGGGGCGGGCTTCCCTGGTGGCGCAGTGGTTAAGAATCTGCCTGCCAATGCAGGGGACACGGGTTTCAACCCCGGTCTGGGAAGATCTCACGTGCCACGGAGCAACTAAGCCTGTGCGCCACAACTACTGAGGCTGTGCTCTAGAGCCCATGCTCCGCAACAAGAGATGCCACTGCAATGAGAAACCCGCGCACCGCAATGAAGAGTAGCCCCCGCTCGCCGCAACTAGAGAAAGTCCATGAGCAGCAACGAAGACCCAACACAGCCAAAAATAATAAATAAAAATAAATTTATAAAATAAATAAATAAGTAAATACTGGGGTCTCTGAATAACCTAAAACTTTCACAGACAGATGTCCTCTAGGCAAGCAAATATAGAAGAAACAAAAAGTAACTCCTTAGTCAGGCAGTATTTTCTTTTGGAAAACACTGGGGGTCCAGATCACCGGGGGGCCAAGAGGGATGCTGAATGTTCTGGGAAACACCACTTGCTGGCTAGAGCCTAAGGCCTGGCCAGCAGGAGTAAAGCTGGGCTTGTCTGAGACTCAGAAGTGGCTAGGCTGGTGTTCGGAAGGAAGTGCCCAAGAAGCTGCGTTCCAGAACACTCCCTGCACCTGACTCTAAGTCCTGTCCACTGTCAGGCATGATTCCAGAAAAAGGGGCTCTGGGTGTCCACTCCACGCTCACTAATAAAAGCCGCAGGTAAACTGGGAAAGAAAAACCTTCAGAGAAACCATCACGCACAGGTGTAGATGCTTTATCGGCCCCTTCTGCCTGGGGCCTTCTGACTCCTTGTCAGTCTTGCTTACCTGGTTAAAACGAAGACGTCGAGGAGGGAGGCAGCTGTCGTCAGGCGGTACCAGGTGGTGCCAATCCACCAGTAGAGGAGTCCGAAGAGCCGGCCTGGAAGAGGGCCCGTCAAGCCTAAGTGCCACCCTGAACCACTGGGCCTGTGTGTCTCCACCAGCGGTCCTCCCTGCCCCGACCCCAACCCTGATCGCCAGTGCACCTCCGTCCTGTCCCATGCTACCCAGGTCCTGTGATGCCACCCGCCTGCGCTGCCAACGCCCTCCCCCCAGCTTTCAAGCAAGGGTGCTCCCGTGGCTCCTGGCTCCCCGTAATTATTCTGGAGCGAGCTATCCCTGGTGGTCCTACAGTCTCTTTCTAACGGGTTGGATACCCAACCGCAGAAAGATGGGTGAAAGTGACTGCCAGAGAGAATGGAAACAATCATGTACAGAGCAGCCGGCACCCACCTGGAGAAGTGACCACCATCCAGAAAAGAGAGCCCGCCCGAGAGACAGCGTTCCGTAGCCGCGACCCTGAACCCTGCTGGTCCGTCTCCGAGTAGCCTGCAGGGGAGGAGAGGAGACGCCCAGTTGTCCTCACTCTTTTTTTCTGGTGTGGAAGTGCCGTGCACCGCAGGGCCTGCGGAATCTTAGTTCCCCGACCAGGGATCGAACCCGTGCCCCCTGCAGTGGAAGCGCGGAGTCCTAACCACTGGACCGCCGCTGTCCTCACTCTTAAGAGCCTTGGGACATGGAGACTGTCAGTTGTCTGCTCCTCTAGACTGTGAGCTGAGACCGTGTGTCATTCTCCTTCACATCCCCAAGTGACAGAGGCTGGCAGCTAGCAGGCCAGTAAACGCTGACGAAGCGAAGTGCTAGAGTTCTGACATTTTATTTCCCTTGGACTCCTTGTCTGCTTCCTTCTCACCAGCAATCCCTCAAACCACTCAGAACTAGACTAAGGGAATCAAGCACCTCCTGCGTGTGAAGCTCCATGTTAAACACCTGCCGGAAATGAGTCAAATAAGGGAACGGGCCACAGGCGGCTCAAGGCCTCGTGGGGCCAGGCGATCGCATCCCAGCGCTATCGAGGGCAACCCCAGGCCTGGGTTCAGGGCACCATGGTGGCACAGCAGCAACACTCAGCTGGACACCATGCTCTCTCGAGCTGTCAGGGCGCCTTCCCCTACTTCCCGTCACCTCCCCAGCAGCCCGGGAACCTGGCGAAGCACCTCCCCGAGGCTGGGGAGGGAGGACGTCGCCTACCTACGTAGTCATCCTCGGAAGAGTAGCCCGAGGACGACCCGAGGAAGTCCTCGGACAGCTTGTTCTCCGGGAGCCCGTTGACTTTGCTGCTCTCAGTGCCACCTGTGTCTCTCCTCCTCACCCGCAGGTCCTCACCTGAGGAGGGAAGAACGCGGGGTTCTCCTGGGGCAGAGATGCTCCAAGGAGGGTGTTCCAGAGGGACTCGCGGGGACACCCCGAGGAGCATCTCTGATGGGCAGATGGAATCTACTCTTAGCCCCGCCCGAGCTCCCTTGGGTCAAGGGAGGGTGAACTAGGACCGGCCCCTCCGTCTCCCAGGCCTGGAGCAGCTACGTGGCTACTCCATCGTCTAAAGGGGCCTGGAAGTTCAGACACTCAGCTGCTCTCCCAAGGGTTTCCGAAGGTGGGGAACCCCTCTTCTGGCCCAGCAGCCGTTAGGAAACCCCCGGGGGGGATTTTGGACCATAAATCTCCAGAGGCAGCAGAGGCCCAGGAGAAAGGCTGTGGACACTCACTCCAGAAGGGGTCACCATGCAGCTGGTCGTCGAGGATGGAGTTCCTGGTGAGAGAGGCAGCGATGGAGGCGGCCCGGGGGCTGCCAAAGTAGGACTCCCTGACCACAGACTCGCTATAGTAGGAGGTGTGCCTGTCGGAGGAGGGGCCCAGCTGCGGCGCTGGGGAGAGGCGCTTCATGTTGCTGGATTTCCTCTTCAGGGTCCTGTGGGAGGTCAGCAGGAGGAGAGAGGCAGAAGCTGGCAGGTGAGCCCAGCCAGGAAAGCGAAAGCGGGGCTCTAGGCAGTGCTCTGCCCTCCTAAGGTCGGGGCGGGGGCGGGGGCGGGGGGGGGGGCGGGCCTGCGGCCTTGTTGCTAGGCAACTAACAACTCCCAACTGCTGACTGTCTACCGCGCAAAGCGGGTACTTTCTGTGCTCCCATTATCTCTAAATCTCACAAGCAGTTAGGCGAGATCATCAGTAAGCGATGGAGTCAGGATTCAAATCTAGGTCTCTAACTTCAAAGCCAAAGTGTTTTTTCATGCTTCCTCATGGATTAGTAATTTCTACAACCCACTGACAACCCAGACAAACCCAACCTGGCCTTCTAGAGCTAGTCAAAGACTCAGGGGCTGTCATCTGGGCCTCACATCTGCAAGGGGGCAGGGTGAGGCAGGCGCCTGCCTTAGCTCACATCCTGGTGCCCCTTGGACTTGTTCGTCTCCTCAGCTGCTTCGCTGGCCCTGAGGAGGCCCTACAGACAGTGGCAAATGTGGGTGTGGGTGTGGGTCTGGGGAGGATGGCCAGACTGGCAGAGCCATCCACGGCACCATGGGTTCCTGTGAGCCCAGCTCTCGGTTTTGGGGTTTCCGGCCTGGCTTATTCTTGAAGCTGCCTCTCCCCACTTCCTGTTCTCTGAACATGAGGGCAGCAGCCCGGCTTACAGCATGGAGAGAAGAAACAGCACTGGGCCCTGGCATCCCCAGAGGTGTGAATGTCCCCTTTGACCAGACATGGGTATCTGATCTCTGCCCACAAAAGTCACAAGACGAAGAGGCTGCGCAGTGAACCGCCCAAGACATGTGCTCTGCAGGTCAGTGCGATCCCACGGAGGCAGGTGGGGCTGGAAGTGGCGATCCCATACCTGAGAGGACTGTCTTTAAACAGGGTGCTCTGACTCCCCATCACCGAGCTCCCCCCACTGCTGCTGCTGCCGTCATCGTCACCCTGGGAGCAGCGTGTTAGGCGCTGGCTTCTTCGAGACATGACGAGGTGGGCGGGGGACCCTTCCCCTGAAGAGTCTTGGGAGAGAAAGGGCGCCATGTGAAGCGTGGGGCTGTTCTCAGCCCCTCTCCAGGGGAGGAGAAACAACGCACTGCCTCCTAGCCAATCCCCACCCCCCACCGGGATTCAACTGAAACAGCCTGAGATGTGGGTGACATGGGGCATTTATTAATTATCCCGGCCCCACCCACCCTGCTGCCCTCTGCCCTCTGCCTTGGGCAGCCTCTTTCATGGCACCTTCCACAGGATTTCCTAATTCTCAGTCTACTGGATGCGGAGGTCCGTGAGAGCTAGAATTGGGCCTTCTGCAACCTTTGACATGAGACAGAGCCTGTGGCACCTGATAGGTAGGCCACAGGTGCTAAATGAATGCCTTTCATCACTGCTGCCCTGCACCCGCTCTCCAGCCCAGCCATCTTACCGTGCTGCCCTGTCCCTAGAGCTGTGCCTGTTCTTGTTCTAGCTTGTTTCCCTTAGATGGGACATGCTTTCCTTTCTTCATAGCTGTATTCACTGATTCAGAGCCGCAATCAAACTTTGACTCCAGAAAACTTTTGCACGGTAACCCCTGCCTACATCCTGATGGCGCCCGGATGCCGTATCCCATTAGTGATTATTGGGCTGCAACACCAGTGCATCTTGATATGATAAAATACTTTGTTAAATGCCTCCTAGGTACCCGCTCCTTACACACCCATTATAATCCAGGAAGGCATCGTTACCCCCATTGTACTGGGGGGAACCTGGGACACTGAAATGATCAGTAACCTGCCCGCAGCCACCCAGCCTGTAAGTGACAGTGGCAGAGTTTGAGCTCAACTCTCACGGGTTGCAGGGCCTGGGTCCTTCCACTCCACCAGGAGGTTTTCAAGTTGTTTCAGGAATATGTTGTTGTGTCCCCAACTAGAGTCTTTTACAGCCTCCAGTATGTTCAGAACAGGCTGCAGAGCTGTTACATTTGTTAACAAACTAACAAAACAGGCAGGTGGAGCGCCAGTGTGGGATTACCCTCAGTCCCTACCAGCCAGACCAGTCACTACGTGGGGTGGAAAACCAAGGCTCTGGAATTGATAAGGAAGACTCAGAGGAGGCCAAGGTGAAAAGACATGGTAAAAGGGGGCATTCTACAACACAAGGAGGATTCATAAACCTTTCAGTTCTAGAAACCCAAGTTCAAAATCTCAGATGACCAGTATGAGCACTCTGAACATGGCGCCTTTGCCAGCCTGTATTACAAAGTCACTGTAATACTTCGGTCCTAGTACTTGTGACTTATTACTCCCAATATTCCTCGTTGATACTTAAATTACTAGTTCTCTGGGCTGTGTGGTGGACATAGGCTCTAACACATCCCAACTCAGACTACAGAAACCAGGAGGTCTGGTTAGTCTAGTTGAAGAATTCTACAAAGTCGTCTTCTGAAAAACAAGCAGCCTCATGTCTTGGGTCTTACTGGTGTCTTCACAGGTAGGATGTCCACCTGGCATCTTTCCCTGGTTTTAGCCGATGGTGGTATCCACAGCAGGAAGTTGGCCTGGATCCTTTTCTATATTCCATTCCTTATAAGGTAATTCCACCCCTGCTACTGCCCTCCCCACCTGAAAGCTACAGATGCTCACACAGGCTCCTCCTCTTAACCCTGCCCTGCAGAAGCTGATGAAGCCTTCGCCCTGGGGCGGGAACAAAGCAATGAGTTTAAACAGAACTCAAGCTACTGCTGGCAAGAATATAAATAAATATTTAGATGGAGGTGTGTGTGTGTGTGTGCGTGTGCGTGTGTGTGTGTGTGTGTGTTTGGGGGGGGCGGTTGCTGAAAACCATCAGCAGTCAGCACCCTTCCGGGGGTGCCTTTTAGTCTTTCTCATAGGGTTCTGCTATCACGAAACAGTTTATCATTGAATCTGGGTTTCGCAAGATGAAAAGGTCGAGGCCCCGTCCTCCAAAACAAAACAAGAGGTGAGCCTCTCAGAGCTCCAATCTTTTGCATATCAGAATAAACACCCCCCGCCTCCCCCGCCCCGTTAAGACACCCTCAAATAAAACATCCCTTCCCACTTCTGAGAGGAACCACATCCTTTCTCAGCTCCACCCTTCCCCACCCCCATCACAAACTTATATGGCAGTATCCATCCAGTCGTCAGACTTAACCTAGATCTTGGGCATCCTCCGCGGTACGTTTTCATACTACATTCTCTCGTGGGACCTGCAAAACGCTCCAGGTGCTAGCTCTGCTCCCTTCATTCCCTACTGGCTAAACCTGCGGGAGTTTTTTTTTTTTACCAACCATGCGCCTTCCCTGCCTCTCTGCTCTAAGTCACACTCCCGCCTCCTATTTGGTTTTTTTTTTTTTTTTAGAACTGAACAAAATGGGCCTCCCTCCTATTCCCAGAGTTATGACAGGCGGCGGCAGAAGCAGAGAACTACCTGTCCCTGGAAACTGCCTGACTGGCACGAAAACGCGGGCACTGGCCTGGGCCGCTTTGGGACAGCCGGGTCTCCGCTCCTCGCCTACCGGGGAGGTTCGGCCCGGGGAAGTCCCGCCCGGAGACATCCGCCCTCCAGACTGACCAGTGGAGCGGCCAGTCCCGGGGGCGGGGGCCGGGCGGCGGAGATGAGTCACGGCGGCCTTGGCACAGCGCTGGCCCTTCTCGACCGGTCCAGGGGCGTGCACCGGGCGGGGCTGGAGCCTGGCCCAGCTTGGCCCGGAGAGGAAGGGCCAGGCCTGGGCAGCTCGGCTCTGGCCGGTGCAGCCCGACAATGACCCCGGGGTCAGGCCGGGCCCGGGACCCGCGGGGAGGGGAGCGATGCCGGCCCACCACCCTCGCCCCGCGCGTCTGCCCGCCAGAGGCCCAAGGCCGGCTGTTACCTGCTGCCGCCGCTGCTCCGTGCGGGACCGGGGACGTTCGAGGCCAGCCGCGCCTCCCGGGCGCACCCTCTTACCGCGTCGGAATCCGGGGAGGTGCGGTCGGCGCAGGGACCCGGGGCGCGCGGGGAACTGCGGACGGCGGATTGGCGGACAATGCGGCCCGCGCAGAACCGCGCTGCGCAAGTGGGGCCGGACGGCGCGCGCGTGGCCGAGTGTGTTATGTGTGCGCCTGTCAGTCAACGCTGACAGACCGCAGCCCATTGGTCAGACCCCGCCCGCGTCACCGCCCACTGCCACTGCCCATTGGGCGGTTTGAACACAAAGGCTCCGGCTCGCCCCGCCCGCCGCGTGGGCCAAACGGGCGGGGCAAGGCCAGACAAGAATCGCGCGTGGGAGGTGCGAGTGACTGGGTAACCCCTGGGCGCTGGTGGACTCGGATGGAGCCGGCAAGCGGGGGCTCGACCTGGCCTGACTTCGCACTTGACTCCCGGTCTGGTTGCTCAAAACACTTGAGCCCTGTCCTGGTACTGCCTCATGCGCCTCACCCCACCCGCGGCCTTCTGGGGCCCAGCTCTCGGCAAGATGACGCGACAGGGCCGGGGTGCCAGGACCTTAAAGGTATTGAAGATGGCACGAGGAAGTGGGGAGCAGGGGAGATTGACAACCCCTGGCCTAAGACCCACCTGGAGGGGTAGCGTGTAGTTAGCCCTTAGAGGACCTCCCCAAAACGATTGTTGGAATCTCTTGCGTAACTGTTTTCTTAGGCATTTCTACACTTTTGTTTTTTTTTACAGATCAGGAAACAGGTTCATAGAGTTTTTAAGTGATTTGCTTAGTCACACAGCTTCAACGAGGCAAAACTGAGATTAGAAGCTTCTCTCCATATCCAAGCCCCCCCCCTTTTTTTTTTCCATTTTGGGATTGATTTTGGGATTCCAGACTTGGCAGGAAGCTCTGCCACTTCTCAGTCTGCCCTCAGAGGCCCCCAAATTTCATGGCAGAAGCTTTTCTTCATTTGAAGGAGGATGCTTGCCCCAGTTGGTGCTGAGAAGGCAAGGCTGGTTACCTGTTCCTCTGCTTTACTCAAATCTGAGTGTGGAAAGAGTACTTGATAGATACGGAATGAATACCATGCTGCCTGACTTCAAGGGTCCTGTGCTCCCCCCTGGCTCCCCACTGGCCAACTCTACAGATGCAGAAAGTGCCCAGCTTGGGAGGAGTCACTTCCTGGCAAGCTCTTCTAAGGGAAGATGAAACTGTTGTTACTTCACTTTTAAAGTGCCAAGAGGAAGAGACGAGAAATAATGAAATCAGGACAGGAAGATGCTGGGGGTAGGGGATTGAGGAAATGTGAAGCCCCTTGTGCTAAGTCGACTCCATACAAAGATGACCCCCTGATCCCTGGGTCTCCACTGCCCCACCCGGAAAAGAGGGGCCTCACCTGCAGTTACAATCTATTGAAGACAACAGTACTTGCCTCTGGGGTTAGGCTTTGAGCCCCCTGAAGACAAGGGCTGGCTCATGTCTGAGTATCTGCTGAACATGGGATGAGTGAAGTGAGAATTGAAATCAGATTTAGAGTCAGCCTCCAGGTAAGGGAGGGGCCTTCTCTTGACACCTTCTCCACCCCAAGGAGCTTAATGCCTCAGTTCTGTCCTAGCCAATTCCAGTGGAGTCTCCATATCCCGCCACCTCCGTTGCAGAGCCTGCTTCACTCCTTTCCAAGGATCCTGGCAGAAGGACCCCCTTCCCAGGATGTGCTGGTTTGTAAAGCAAGAGGCCATGTGCCTTCCACTGGTCTCAGGCAAGGGCCATGGCCACAGGCTGGCTAGAGGCAGCCCTCTACTAAACTGTGTTGCCTCTGTGGGCCTGTAGTAGGTAAATAATGGGCCCCAAAGATATTAGGTCCTAATTCTTGGAACCTGTGAATGTTACCATACATGGAAAGTCTTTGCAGATGCGATTAAAGGAAGGATTTTGAGATGGGGAGATTATCCTGGATTATCAGAGTGGGCTCTAAATGTAATCACCAGTGTCCTTTTAAGAGAAAGGCAGAGGAGAAGAGGAGGGGGCAATGTGACCACAGAAACAAATTGGAGTGTGCGGCCACGAGACAAGGAATGCTGGCAGCCACTGGAAGCTGGGAGAAGCCAGGGACGGAGTGTCTCCTAGAGTCTCCAGAGGGAGCAAGGCCCTGCCAACACCTTGACTTTCGTCCAGTGATTTTGGTTTTGGACTTCTGGTCTTCTCAACTATGAGAGAATAAATCTCTGTTGTTTTAAGTCACCAAATCTGTGGTAATTTGTTACGGCAGCCACGGGAATATAATTAGGGCCCCTGGGAAATTCCTGGTCTTGTTGTTCAAGGCTCCCAGGACTGTGTGAGGCGCCTCCCTCTGTCCTGACCATCCTCACTGATGGGACCTGTCAGACTTGTGCGATCACACACAGCTCTGTCTGCCCATCTCCGCTGCCCCTGGCCTTTCTGCCATCTTCTCCCTGAGCCACGCTCTGCCCTTTCAGACTCGTCTCTCTGCCCGGCCACCATTCATTTGTTAGTCTTCTCCCAGCGCCCCTCCTCTCTTTTCACTGCTCTGTTATTGCTCCTCCTTTCTCCCGTCATCGTTTCATAAACAGTGGCAGGGCAGAGGTGGCCAGCTTTGCCCCAACTGGAACAGGCTCTGGGTGGCTGACGGTGCAGCCACTGCCGTGGGGCCACACGATGGCTTTCTCTGTTGCCAGGCACTTTTGCCTCGGTGGCCCCTTCCTTCATAAAAAAATTTTTTTTAAATTATATTTTACAACCACGTGGGTAGAAAGATGACTAATCTAGGCTTGATTCATGAGTAAGTATTCATTATTATTATGCTTAATTTTTCTTCCGGTTTTAAAAGAAATGAAATGAAAACATTTCCGTGGGCCCCTGAAGCATCCTGCGTCCTGGGCGCCGAGCCCGCTCTGCTTAATGGAGAGGTTGGCTCTGTGCTGGAGGTGCCGAGGAACAGCTCAGTGAGACGAGCCCATACTGGCTCCCGCCCCAGCCCCTGCCTGCCAGAGGCCAACCTGAGTGCTCTGGGGCTCTGGAACCTTCTTCCACTCCAGCCCAGAGGAGCAGCAGCCGTGGCAAGTCCTGCATCAGCCGAAAAGCAAGGGGGGACCCGCGATCTGCAGCCCTGGGTCTAGGCCGGGTGCACCGCTTGCTTTCTCTGTGGCCTGCTCTGTGAGCCACTTCACCTCTCGTTCGTAAAATGCAAATAATAACTGTCCTGTCTGTTACACAACTGGCTGTGTGACCTGAGACAAGCCAGCGAGGCTCCCTGGCCTCTGTTTCCTCAGGTGTGAGGTCAGCTGAGGAGCGGCGCTGCTTCAGCACGAAGGGCTTTTGCCGCCGGGGTCTTTGAGAGACGAAGGGAGACGGGTTTGTCCTGGACTCAAAGTCAAGTCAGGTAGCTTCTCCGTGCTTCCAGAGACCGGGCTTCCCCGTTCCCCCCCCACGTAGTGGCGGAATGAGCCGTGTCCCTGTCTGCCTCCCCCAGGACTCCCGACACTTGCAGCAGGACTGATCCTAGTAGGTGCTCAATACACTTGTGTCAGATGCACACACGGGTGAGGGTAACGCCTCCAGCCACCTCCCTGCAGCCAAGGCCCCTCCATCTCCTCCTCCCTGCCGTCCTCACCCGCCAGCCTGTTGGCGTCTGTCATTTAACCGTCACAAGCAGAGTAGCCTTGGTGGGGGCGGGGGTGGGGGGGACTTTAATGTCAGACTTCCTGGCTGCAGGAATACGTTTGACAGCCACCAAGAGGCGGTAACCTCAGAGGATTTTGGTGGCCCCTCGGCCCCCCAGGGGCTGTTTCTCTGCCTCCTGGGAATCTGATGCGACCTCCCTACTCCACCCCGCCCAGTCTGGCGACAGGGCTCTGTATTTACAGAATCTTTTATCCAGGGAGCCTCCGTCACCAGGTGGCAAGTGCAGTTAGGCCTGTTTTATGGAAGAAGTCCAGTCGAGGAGGGAAAGACGCCGGGGCCTGCCGGGGCGCCAGGGACAGATGTGGATCCCCCGCCGAGATGGACTTTCCCAGGCAGGTTCTAGTGGGTGACTGTGCCCTAGTCATCTCTGTTCCCCCATGCCTATTACAATGCCTGGCTCCTCATAAATGCTCGATAAACGTGCACCAAGTGCCCGCCTGACTGCAGCTCCCCAATCTTCAAACATCCCCCTCCCTCGTACAGCCTCGGAAAGCCAGCAGTCCGATACTCCCTGCGGCCTCACTTGCAGTCCAGAGCAGATCCCTCCTCAGCGGCGCCCCGGGGCCCCTTCCACTCCCACACCTTTGCTCAGGCTGTGCCCCGGCCTAGAATGCCCTTGCCCTGTTTCTCTACCTAATGAAATCCTAATCGTTCATGGATGCACTCAAAGGTCTCTTGTCTCATGAAGGCTTGCTTCCCTGCCTCCAAGTTCCCAAGGTGGAAGGAATGGCTCCCGCATCCCTGTCTCTGCCCACTTCTCAGGCGGTGTTCTGGAACGGGAATAACAGTCACAGCCCCCAGGGGTACCATGAGGGTTAGACGGGCTGGTGCCTGGTACACAGAGAGTGTGGGCTACAATGATCACTCATCATGCCCCCAGCACAGCGCCTGGGTGCATGGAGGAACAGCCCGCATGGGCTGTGGCCTGGAGGAAGGTCAGGGCGGCACTGGGGCCTTCAAGGGCACTGGCCCATGTGTCAGAACTCGTAGGCTGACATCGGGGGACTTGCCTGATATCTATGTGAGGTTGTCCCTCCTGGAAATGACACATCCACCAGCTGCTCCACCTCCCGTGGGGACATTGCTGGCCAGTGGTGCAGGCTTGACACCTGGGCTTTCCTGGTGAACAACTCGTGCGAGTCATTTAGCCTTTCTCAGCCTCCACGTCCTTATCTGTAAAATGGGCACGTCTGTTTCTCAGGAGCTGAGCACAGTGCCTGGCACAGGGCAAGTGCTCAGTCAATGCAAACCGCTTTTTAATTTACAAGCGTGTATTTATTCACCCATTGCCTACTGTGTGCCTGCTCTGACAGTAAGACGTGGCCCTTCTGGAGGAGGCCATCAAGTGAGCAGATCATCACCACACAGCAAGGCCCCGGGAGGCACACAGGCCTCTAAGGGTCCCCCGTGACCAGGGCCTCAGTATGACTTCTGTGGGCCCCTTCTTCCAAAAAAGGATTAAAAATTCTATTTTGTGATTGTGCTGCTATAAAGAAGAATATAATCCAGGCTGGATTATATCCACTTTCCCCCCTTCTGATTGATAAAAATAATTAAAACATCTCCGTGGGCCCTGTAAGTGTGGTAGGCCCTGACATCGTGCCTGCTGCGTGTAAGGTCTGGCTGTGACTCCTCACCCAGATCTGGGGAGTCACAGAGGCTGCCAGAGATGGTGACCTGAAGGGCGGGAGGAGTGGCCCGCATGATGGGGTGGGGTGGGGCGTGGCAGTCATTGCCGCCCTTCCCTGTTCTCCAAGGCCTGGGGAGAAGGGGCTGCATGAGTCCTCACGAGGTGGCCAGTCTTTGCCACAGTGTTATGGTTGGTGTGACCGGCATGCCTCGCCCAGGCAGGACAGACCTCGGAGGGGCACTCAGCACCCAGCCATCAGCACTGCAGCCTGCCTGGGGAGGCATGTTCCATCACGAGGCACTCAGTGTGGTCCCCAGGGAGGGTGCAGGGCTGGCGGGCCCTGGGTCATGGCTGAGGGCATTTCAGTCTGGGGACCCCAGTTCATTCAGTCCACCTTCTGTGCCCAGCATGGCCCCCACCGCCCGTTTCCTGGAGGTCTCTACTTCCTGAGAGCCAAAGCCCTCCAGGTGTAGGGGAATCTGGGTGGCTGGCTTTGGTGGCGCACAGGTGGAGCGAGGCAGGGCTGCAGAGGCTAAATGTGGTCACCTACCTGGCTCAGGCCTATGGGCTGGCCTCCAGTAACACCTCCCAGGGCCCCCAGTCTGTGCCCCTGGGCATCATAACCGGCATGGCCTGCAGCCACCGGCCCGGGCTGTTGGGCCTGGTGGTCCGGAGCTGTGGGCTCAGGAATGTTGACTCCTTGATTCCGAAGGGTGGGAGGGGAGGGTGGGTCCAGGGAGGGATGGCCTGGGGCTGCCCCTTCACCCCACTCGTCCAAGACGGGACTTGCCTTTAGCAGCTGGGGTGTGTGTGTGTGCACACGTGCACACGCCTGAGGGTGTGGAAAACACGGATGGTAGACCGGGGCTGCTACTTGGGAGTGACGTGACCTGCGGCAAGCCTCAGCCTGCCCACCCAGGGGCTGAATGAACTGCTTCTGGGGTCCCTTCCAGAGCCCACCCCAGGCTCAGCCCTCCCCACTGCCGTAGCTGCCCCCGTCTTTACTCCAATCACCCTCCCCGAACCTTTCCAGCCCCCAGGACGTGCTTGGGAGTGAGTTACGTGACTCCATGCCCAGCACAGTGCCTGCGGCACATGGACAGCTCGGTCATGGGGTGGGGTGGGGGGTGTTGGGAGGGGTGGGGGGTGTTGGGAGGGGTTAGGGGTGTTGGGAGGGGTGGGGGG